GGCCACCCACGTCCGAAGGCTGGTTTTAAGTGCAGTGAAGAGCTGAGGTGTCTCAACCTTTTCCGAAAGAATCCACGATTCTCCAGAGACGGCGAGGAGAGCGCGGAGAGGTGTCACCTGGACAAGTTTGGAAGTGGCCAGCATTCGCATAGTCACGGGTGTTTTAGCGAGAAGATGTTCCATGTTTGATACTGTCGGCGATGAAATATAGGAAGATGAGTTTTCAGGACATTTGTAGTGAGCTGCGAGTAGAACGGCGGATTGGAAAGTGTCGAAAGAGACAGAAGTTGACTCTGGCATTACCTCATATACGTATGCAGGCGAGTTTGAGTGTTGCCGAACTGCTTCGGCCCACGATGCCAGGTCCGTGGCGTCAAATGACGAGACATGCCTAGGAAAGGGCAGATCAAAGGCGGTGTCTTGTACGAGAGAAGAAAGAGGTTTGCGAGCAAGCAGAAGCGATTGTTGCGACTCGAGAATGTAGCAAGACAAAAGCAAGTGTTGCCAGGATGCCAGCTCGATCCACTGCTGCCAGCAGGCCGAAGTTGGCTCTGCAGGTTGGTCGAGAGACGACACGATGTCGCCTAAAAGTCGAGTATTGCGTCTGCAGTCTTCGGCAGCCTGACGATGTTAGCATCTCCTAACACATACATGTCTAGACACTAAGCCTACCTTGTGATACACTTTGCCGAATCGCGGGGACAAGGCGTTGCCAGCTCGACGAGCACGGTACTGAGAGAGGACCTCAAGAAGGAATATTGCCTGAAAATCGCATAGTCGGTCGGACTCGGTCATTGTTTCACGGTCCCTCTGCTGCTGATTAGTCCATGGTCATCAGGCCATGCGATTAACCTACCACTTCGAGCAGTTTAACACACCGGTCGTGAAGGTCTCGGGACTGCTTCTTGATGTTCGTATCGTGCGAGTACTGACCCCCAATGGCAGCCATGGCGGCATGCAGCATTGGCGATGAGTTCACAGAGGTAGATCGATGGACGACGGGGAAAGTGGGATGAAAGAGCCTCCAGTAACAGTCAAGACATTGCTCAAACGGATAGGTGTTGTCGATCGAAGCCATACCGTATTGTTGTTCCCCAAAGAGAATTGCTCTCTCCTCTTCATCCCTCTGCATCATGCTCTTAGGCCCAAAATGCCCATATTCGGACATTGCATCGAAGCTGGAAGTAATTGACATGCTAGTCATTGGACAAGAAGTGTGCATGTAAGCAAGACCTGGCGCAGTATGCCCCTTATCTGAAGAAGGCCAGGTAAAGGCCATGGTTGATGTCGTGGAAGCGGGGGAACGTGACGCAAAGGTCCAGCTGGGTTGATCAATGCACGATGCGTTCGAAGGAGTGCGTGTTCGGTGGTAAGGCGTGTAGACTGGGTAGTCTGTTGGCGCGATTGGTGATACGTAACCGCTAGTAGAAGAAGAGTAACCCAAAGGGCTGTACGGTTCAGGCCACAGACCTGGAACGCCAGGCTCGATCGATACCATAGCCGGTGCAGGTTGGCGGTTATAATGAAAAGCTCGATGGTGTTTAGATTGACTTGAAAGACATCAGCATCCACTCCCATGATTAATGGTTTGAAAAGAATTGAAAAGACGGGAAACGTGCTGCAGATGTACAATGAAACTCACTTGGGGCTGAAAACAGACTGTGGAGAAGAACGAGGAACATGACTGAAACTTGAAGAAAAAGCCTGAGGCGTTCGAGGAGTACGAAACTGAGCGTAATTATACCTTGGGGGTGGCGCCGACTCATGCATAGGAGAGACGGGCGGATAATATGGATGGTTTGGTAGAGCAGGTGTAGCGCTCAGAATGGATGGCTCGGGAGCAGGAGTGGAGATGGGCAAAGGGACTGGTGACTCGTCGATGCTTGGCCGACGGGAGTCGTTTCCCATCTCGTTGCTGTCAAACACGTCAGTATCGAACTGTCAAAAGCCACTTCGATCCTACGTACTGCCGCTCCTGGTGTCGAACAAGAAGATCCATGCGATGGAATACCTTGTCACACCCAGCGACTTCACAGATTAGTGCATCGTCTGGCGTGTGGTTCTTCATGTGCCGTCTACATAAAAGGTCAACATAGTTTTGCTTGATAGTGAGCTGGGGCTGACCTCAGATGCTCCGCGCGTGTGTAAGACTGGTGGCGGTTAGCAAAAGAACAGTGTTGTGAGGCGCTGTTTGTTTGACTGGATGTGGTGGGGCGTAACATGATGCCGATATGGTGTAATCAAAGGTGCCAGCTTGTAGTTGCAGGACTAAGAATCTCAACTCACCTTTCCACAGGTATCGCACTTGTGCACCTTCAAGCCTTTCTTTGCTTTACTGATGCGACCAGTCTTGGTGTAGTGGACGGGTGACATGTGGGAAGACATATCTGTAGGACTCGCGGTCGATGGTTGCTCAGAACGGGAGGAGCCGATGTGGGGGGCAGAAGGCTCTTGTCGGATATCGCCAGGGCGATGACGAGGGCTAGTCTTCCTGGGCTTCTTGGAGTGGTTATATGTTGGCGATGATTTGCAATGGTCAATGTGAAGAGATGTTGGTGGTGGGGTGGTGCTGCCTTGGAGATGCTGTAGCTGGTTGGTAGTTGGATCCAATGGGCGGCCTCCGGTCTCGCTGGGTTCAGACATGTTTGACGGAGGTGGCGACGAGCGGTATATATCCAAGGCGGGTGTTATGGGGCTAGCAGGTATGGGAAGCTCAAGTGGGGGTGTAGGCAAAGCGAGCCAAAAGACCCAAATGTGGTTGTGCGGGAGATGGCTATGGGCTAGTGGTCATGTCCTGGGCGTGTCAGCCAAGTTCCCACAGGACAATGATAGGCACTCGGAAGTATGAGAGTTGAATTAAGAAACACTTGCCAGGGGTGGTAATTTAACGTGGTGTGTACAAGGCCTGAATGGGACAGATGGCCGTTCCAAATCAAGGCATTTGTGACAATTGTGGTGAAGAAAGGCTGCGCCCGGATGGGTTTATGGAGAAGACTGTAAATATCTGCGGGCTGTGCCTGAGCCAACCCCGAATGAGGAGCCTACTCGAGGCAGGGGTTCTGGGAGAGCGATGGACAGATAGACGCTGCAAGCACGCATGCACAACAGGTAGGTATGAGGCTTGACAGGGGATCCACCAAAGGTAGTGCATTGGCCAGGCCCGTAGCAAAACCATGCGCCTGAGCCCGCGGGCATGGCTGCGGGCTTGCCATCGAACGGTTCCGTCACGAACATTGGGCAAGAGAGTGTCCGCGCGCCAAAATTGGGACATGACTGGGGGGGGAGGGAGGGTGGGTGGATGGTGGGTGGTGGTGGCCAGGCTACGGACCGTTCCCGCCTCGGTCTTTGCATCGGTTCCTCAGAGTGTGGCTTGAGAGCCTATGGAGGACCCGAAAATAGAGACTCGCGTGGAGCGTGACGGGTGTGCTCAGCCCATGCTCCTGCAACGGTGCACCGTCCTGCTGCCGCTTACACGCAGAGGCGAGGAGAGTATTACAATAAGATGGCATTATGACGACGATGAGGACGATGACAAACCGATGTTCCTTACAGAGAAGACTATGGAACAGTGGCGGTAGTAGGTGCCGTGAAGGCGGACGCACGACTTGTCGCGGGATTGCGATAATCGCCCCCTGCAGTGGGCAAGATACATATGCCCGAAACTTTCGCACCACGATGCGTGGCCATTGGTAGAGGTGGGGACTGTCAGGTGCGTGAGCGGCATATGTGTAGTGTAGCCTCACGTGTAGCCTTGTTGCCAGGGCCCCATCCCGCCATCCAGCATCCATCACCATACACAACAACGTACGCGGCAGAACCACGGCCATGTCTCTCATTGCAAGCCGCTTGGCCGAATAGTAGGCCACAACGGGGACTCCAGGGTAAAACTCTGCACCACATATTCCCTGGGGCTGTCGAGTCGAGTGTGCTTCAAGCGACCATTCGTCAATGAGCAAATACCCAGAGCATAAGCACGGTAAGCAGTCCCTCCGTGTGTGTGTGCACACAAGGAGCGGCTTCAAAGGGTCCCCCGGTCCCTGGCCCTCGCCCAATCTCCACACAGGTAGGGCGTCCAGGACGGGAGGCCTGACCTAGTTTTAGCGTGTTGGTGCAGGCAAAAAGCTTGGTCGTTGTGTTCCCAAGCTTTTCAGCCTTCCAGGGCGGGTCAAAAGGCAAATGAAAGCAGACGGGAGGCATACGCTTTTGCACTGATCTGCACGACTTTGGCCAAAGGTGTCGAGGACGTGGACATTGATGAGGGTCGACGCGCTTTTGCTCGGCATGCTACAAGGACGAACTGCACGACGCACGTCACAGGCTTCACCGGTTTCCATGGTTCAAGCTCCTGCATCTACGCGCATCGGGGATGCTGCGCGTGTGAGGGGAGCTCGATGGACATGGGTTTTTTGGTTGCACATGGGAACTTCGCACCTTGTTGCAATATTCGGGCACTTTGCGAGCCTGATTGTCGGGCCAGGACCGTTGTCGGTTTCATGATGGGCTGAGCTCCTTCGTAACCGAGACGATGGGAAGGTTGCGATGATCCCCGTCAGCAAGGCGCAAGTATGGACATGGGCAAGCGAGCTGTGTGACCCGTGGAGTAGGTCAAGATGACCAGGACCTGTTAGCTGGAAAGCCGGCGCGTAAATTAGGATGCCAATTGCATTCCACTCTAATGGACCAGGCCACGATGGTGACTTGGCCGCACCCTAAAAAAAAATAGGCAACGGGCACGCGGCGGCTCTCGCGATTCGAAGAGAGAGAAACACGTCGGTCGGTTAGGGCATGTTAGTAGCGGAAACCATGGCATTTGCTGTTTACGCTCAAGCGTACTTGACAGCGACGAATCCTTGGAGGAAAAACTCATGGCGGACGAGGCTGGCGGAAAGGATCGTCTGGGCGGGCCACACCAAACGTCTTGAGCGACTGCCCCCCCGCATGGCGGGCCATGTTTGTGTGCCGGCATAAGGAGCAAAGGGCGAGTGAGGACCAAAAGGGTATCACGGCGAGGCATATGTGAGACGGGCATACAGCCATGCCTCACGCTCTTGGACGCCGAAGCCACACGCAGAGGTGGCTGCACGTGTGTGCAAAGGTGGACAGGACCCGTCTCTTGGGTAGCATTCGGTTGACGCACGTATCTGAGATGGATAACGCCCCCTGCACGAGAATGGGTCCACTAAGAAGCTATCTGGCCTGCCCTGGAGCCCCGAAGCCGTGACATGAGGCCAGACATTATGTGCAAAGCTAAGTACCTTAGCCGACAGATAGCTGCGCACTGTGAGACTTGGCCAATCCATGAGTTCGCGCTTGTGGCCAGTGTGGAAGCGATAGCCGTTTGCCGGCCCGGCGAGGCTCCCAAGCACCGTGGGAGAGTGGGACGTGTTGAGGATAGGCGGCGGCATCGTATGCGGCAGCTTGCGGCCGAGTCGCGGAGGAGGAGGAGGTGGAGAGAGAAACAGAAAGAGAGAGCGAGCGAGTGGTAAGGGTGTTGCCGTCCCGCACATGGTACGACTCAGGTATCTGGAATGGCCAGACCCGTCCGCGTGCCGAAGTGGCTCCGACGACAACATCTGGAGAGAAATTGGTCGGTTTTGCGATGGGTTGGTTTTAGTAGCATTATTTCCGTCGCCAGAATCTCCATGTAGGCGTGTGCGCCCGCGCGGTGCACCAGACGGCACGCAGCCTGACAGCGGGCTGTAGCTCTGCCAGTATGGGGAAGCCGAAGCAGCAGACTAGCACGGCTAATGCCGACACGACGTGAAAAGACTGTGTGAGCTGAAGCGATGGCGTGTCCGGCGTTTCCGCAGACGTGATACTGGGAGGGGATAGGCAGCGCAGTGGCAGGGCAATGCTGGGAGCAAGGCGAGGGAGCTGCTGGGAGGAGCAGCAGCAGCAGCAACAAGCGCACAATCTCATCTTACTGCGTAGATGCGATGCGGCACGTGCACGGCCCATACACGCCCACACCCACACCCATCTCTCTATCCACACCTACACTCACACGCACACGCACACGCACACACACAGGATGCCGCTTATCCTTTGTGCATCGGCCAATATTGCGCCGTGCAAAGCTGCCCATTCCACTATTCATAGCCTCGCCGCCAACACCTCACTGTGCTTCCCCAGCCATGTTGACCTCATGTGTGCGCTGTGACGGACTGCACTTGCACTAGCGTTCCCGTGGTTGTATTTTTAGCCCAGCCGACAGCCTAGTCCTCCTTCACCCCCAAGATTCTGCCTCGCCAAAACTGTCACCACATCCACGCTCTTATCACCGCCATCCAGGTCCTTTGCATCCCTATGACGGCATCTGCCTACCCTGCAGTCCACTCTCGCTGCCCGAACGCTGCACACTGCTGCCTTGGCTTGCTCTAGCCCGTGATCCTTGGCCCAGCCCAGAATATCTCTCTCCGCATCCCAAGCTCCACTACCGCGTGCACCAGCCTTGCTGTGACGTGACGTCCTCCTTGCTCCTCCACCGAGCCCATGAATAACGCCATCTGAGTAATCACTCGCCATACCTGTGCTCGCCCAAGCGCCGCTGCGCAGGCCACATGGCCGCTGCCATCTGACCTCAGCACTTTAACTGTTTTCCTTGTCGACTACTTTGGCTTCTCTACACTGATTCGCTTAGCCCTTTAATTGTTGCTATTCCCAACTCCTGGCTCAGGTACAATCTCTTTCCCACGGTCGGGTCCCACCCCTAGCCTCAGCCTACAGACTCACACCAACCCAAGCTTGCGCCTTCGACATGCCTCTGCCTTCCATGACTCGTCATATAGCCGCCCCGCTACTGCAGCCCAGAATACCTCTCTCTACTCCACAGCTACCCAAGGTCGAGCTTTGCTGACTATCCAGTGGACAGGTTTCGGTTTTCACCCTGCATGCTATCCGAACCATGGCTTGTTCGGTGACCGTCTTACAGTATTCCGGCGCTTAAGCTTCCATTTAACCTACACAGCCAGCCCGTTGTTACAAACTAAGACATTCAGCACTCGTGCTAACAACACCTCCGACGGCTGCAGCAACGGTCGTTGAGGAGTGGCGTTCGTCTGGATAACTCGGCTATCCTGACAGAAAAGCAAATATCAACTCTTAGGCCTCCCGAGACATACTCCTGACTTGCCGCTTCAGGGGTCACGGAAACAGCCGCTTAATGGGGAAAATATTACGCTTCCTCGCAATATCCTCTGGCCCAGCATTCGTGTGCTGCTTGAGCGTTCGACAATCATCTGATCTAGAGTATGAGGCGATGCAATCTCTGCGAACCACTAATAATAGTAGACAAACAAAAAGAACCAATCATCTGCTCGGCGTACTCGACGGTGGATGTGCAGATATGGCACATAAAAGTTATGTATGCTGTAATGCGGCAAAGTACAGCAAATGCCACATTACTACACACTCCTCCGAACCCAAATTCAGCCTCTCTGCCGCACTTCTGGTTTTTGCTCCATCTCAAAGTGCCGCACTCGTGTCATTGCGGGACCGTCCGCAACGGTAGGGCGTTGCGTTCCGAGCCATGTCGCTGTGCCTCCATGCGAACCCTTACGCCCCAACGGGCGCCTGTGCATTCTTACTACCCTTTACAACGAAGCAGACTTTTTTTTCGCGAAATACGAATGTACCTGTGCCATACTTAGCGTGCCACCGCCACAGTCGGCGCGCATCGTAGAGAATGCCGACATGCTCGTATTACTATGCTTGATGATAAATCGTATCATGGTGCACTGCGTCTGTCAGCGACCACTATTCTAGCCGGACTACTACCTTAACTCGGGCTGAACAGAACTAGCAGCGTGTTACATCATTAGCTGATGCATCCAGTCCCAGCGATGCAATTCTTCATTTTTTTAGTGTGGCATAGTTGCCTACTGTGTGTGCGATAAAAAGAAACTCCGACTACAAATCAATTCTGCGCAATCATTACCGTTTTCGGCAGTGCATACGAAGACCGATGAGTTTTTGGATTGGTTATTGTGTCGATCACCAACAACATCACATCTGCTTCTCTTCTGAGACACAGCCAGTGCTAGATTATACAAATGCCTGTCCGTCTGCAAGTCTAAAGTATGACATGTGACATTAGATACATCGGCACTTCATCTATGATTTGTCACATGGTGAAGTTCACTAAAACGCCCGTCTCCAAATTTCCCACCGAGAAGAGAAGAAAATACGACAGATGTCAAACCAAGTCCATCTCTGCTCTAGTGTTCGGAGCAGAAACGGTTTTCTCCAGTGACCATTTTCCTAATGCACTACAAGTATGTCACTCCTGTCGTATACAACTCAAGCTACAGCATTTTAGTGCATGAAACACTTTTCCATAGCTTCCCTACTACGCCCTGACATCAAACAAGAGCTTAATTCGACGTCGCACTCCACCGCAAGCCAGCCAGCCAGCCCCGTCTCTGACAGCTGCAGTCAGCAATACGAACCCAGCTCTCATGAACAAACTTTGCAAAGCACCGTCTTTCCAATTGGTGACGTGCATCTCAACCTTCCCCTTGAGCCACACACACACACACACATACAACGGCACCGAACGTGCATAGCGGTGCGCCTCCCATCTAACGCACGCTTAGATCCGTGAAGCAGAGGCCAGTCTATCCAATAATCCCCAACCATACCGCATCCTCACCTTTCGCCCGCAAACAAACTACTCACACACAGCCCTTTTCTCTCTCTCTCTCTCTTACACCCCCCTCTCTCTCTACTGCCACGTCGGCCACCAGCCCCCTTCAGAATTTAAAGTTCGCCGCTAAACCCTCCCCCAACGGAGACCCACTCCCTACTTTCCCACGAACCCAATTCCTTTTATTCCCGGGCCTCTCGAGGGGGGAGAGAACCAAAAAAAAAGAGGCTTTTTTCTTTCGTCTCAATGATGTTATTTCCTTCCACCGCAAGCACTTTGCGCGGTCGATTGTAGCATAGGCTGCCTGCGCCTCTTTCTCTCTCTCTCTCTCTCTTTCCTTCAAGCAAAAAAAAAGGATCTACATAAGACTACGTAGCTACTAATAACTTTCTCGGACGTCCAACCCCCAAAACGTCATCCGACATTTGCTTAATGCTTATCGTTGGGTAGTATAGCTTGCATCACAGGCGCTGTCTCGCAAAATTAAAGGCCAACAACGCATGGAGAATTGAGAGGGTGGGCGATGCAAGGACCACACACAAACCCGCCCGCCCGCTGACTTTAGCTTTGGCGGCGGGCGGGGGGAAGGGAAGAAAATCGCTTGCAAGCAAAATACAAAGGGTGGGTTTGTGGCTGGAAAGTGGCGTTTTTCTTGGGTGGGTGGGCTTGAAACGACTCAGAGGCCACAACGCAGGATGGGGAGGGTGCGGCGGTTGCTAGGGAAAATTCGGGGAGGAACAGAATATGATGGTTACTGAAGAATTTTTTTTTCACAGCTTGAACTATGATTTTTAATAACTAGGGATTGTGATGAGATTGAGTCATTGAGCCTTTTTTTTTTCAATTTCCGTTAGGTGTTCCGTTTTTTTTTTGTGTGTGTTGGGCTGGGGTAAGTTTTGGGGGTGTTTGGTTGGGCGCGAGGCTGAGAGCGAGGCTGATTGTGACAAAAAAGATGTCGGGGCTTGGTATTGCCGACTGCCTTGGTTTGCGTATCTGCCTTGCGCGAATCTGGAAATCAATACGGAGGTGATCGGGAATCGGGTGCGGCGTGTCTGATGTAGATAACGCCGCCGCCGCCCACTCTCTCCCCCTCTCTCCCTTGCCCCCATTCCCCTGAAACCAGTTAGTAACATGCCAGGAACAGGACTTTAACAAGGTAAATTGTCCAAGGGTGAGTGGTGGGGCTGAGATTTACTCCCGTCTGCCGATCATGCGCGGTACTTTACTGCGAAGAATGGTGATGCACTTGATCGCGTTGCACTGGTAACACGAAGCAGGCATTTGAGACTGTGGCTGGAATTACAAGATTCTTTTGCTGTTTCTGTTATAGATAGCATAGTGAGAACTCCGTAAGCCTACTATTCGAAATTGCATTTCATGAGGCTGCTGGCCTCGTATTCTCGGGAGGCCTAAGGAGTCGCGATCGATAAAGTATTTAGACTGACTCATGTACCTTCCGCGGGGACATAAACAGCACGTCTAGACATCGTCACGTCTTCCTGGGATATATGGGAATCAAGCTTCACTGTGTCCAATGGCCATGTCTCCGATTGTCATCGAGATCACCCCGGCAATACTCTCCGCCTTTTTGCTTCTAGTTGAATTTTCCGTGATGCTAGGCCATGGATCATCACATCGAGCTCCCCAGTTTTCCATATTCTTAGACTGATTTTGGAGTCTAGTAAGTACCTTTTGGGACTGGAATCGCAGAGAAAAGTACCAAATGGGGCTATCGTGAAAGATGTGATTGGATCGATCATCTTCCCCGCGCGCTTGTGTACTTGGCTTTGTACGGCGACTACCTCTGCCGGGTTATTGTGAAGATCAATTTGAACGTGGAAAGCTGGGAGAAGGTGCATATTTACCGACATGTCATTATGAGCAGGCCAAGGAAGTATCCAGGCTGGCGGTGAAAGAGGTAATGTATATATAATATCTCCGTACAATTGAGAAGAAGAAATATATCAAGCAATTAGTGGGTTCTTCACAATTCCATCTCAAATTCTACAAGCCCCTGTAGTGCAAGCATCATGAGGTTCACTCAAACTGCAGCACTGGCTTTGCCAGCCATAGCTGCCGCCTACCCCGGCATGATGGGGGCCACATCCCGAGCAGAGATGGAGCAACATCTCCGAGCGCAAATGGAGAGCGAAGATCTTGCCAAACGAACCGCCGAACCCCAACTTCTGAACCCCATCGGTAATCTCCTTGGCTCAATTGGCGACCTGGTTGGCGGACTCTTGACTTCAGTCGGCCAGGCTGTTGTCAAGAAGAGCAATAAACGTCCTGAACCCGGCTTCGAGTTCAAAGCTCCTGGACCAAATGACTCCCGTGGCCCTTGCCCCGGTCTCAATCTTCTTGCCAATCACGGATACTTGCCGCGCGATGGATACGTCAATTTCGGACAGGTGTTGGAAGCTACTGCGCGTGGCTTCAACATGGGCGCGGATCTTGCTACAGTCCTTGCCACATTTGCTGTCTTGGGTAGTGGAGATTTCGATGGACTGTCGTTCTATCTCGGCTCAGGAAAAAACGGCATTGGTGGTTTAAACCGCCATTCTGTTGTTGAAGCCGATGTGTCGCCCAACCGCGAAGGTATGGCACTGCCTCTTCACCATGTAAATCCGATCCAACTAATTCTCTTGAACCAGACTACTACAACGGCTGTGGCGACAATCACCACATCTCCTCTCGCCTCGTCAAGCAAATGGTTGGCTTTGCCGCCAAAGATCCTAAAAAAGAGTTTAGCATGAACGTCATGGCAGAGCACTATGCGCAGTCTGCCAGCTTCAGCAAGAACAACAACCCCTTTCTTTACTACTTTCCCTTCCCCCAAATCGTATCTCTCGGCGCCTTTGCCTTCTACCCTCAGTTCTTCTCG